TGTGCCCTTAATATTTTGAGATGTTCGCCTCACAATTTTCATTGACAGCGTGCTCTCCTTCATCATCGTCATTTTCAGATGCTACCCTTCCTGCTTCTCTTGTTGGCTACAGGCGCCAGTGCGTTCTCATGTAAAGACCAGAGCAATAAGGATGTGGACTGGTAGGTTGTCGATTTTAAAAGTGTTGGGTTGGTCCATAAGTAATGGCGTTTTTCCTCAATCGTAATTTCGCAACAAAGATGAAAAGGTTTTACTATCGTGTTTTTGTAACTTTTTTGCAGAGAATTTCTTGCCGTATGAGATAGTTCTATTAGTTTCCTCAAAAATTCTCTTTCCACCAAATTTTCAAGTGCTCAAATTGGAGTGTCAGATCGACAAAAATGAGCATTTTCGACAGCCCCTCCTTATTGACCTTAATTAACAGTACAAGCCTACTTGTGAAGTTTATGGCCGGAAATCTATTCTTTTAGAAATACTGATAACGCTTAAGTCATTCAAGTATTTTGGTTTAGACTTCACAGGCGTTGAACCTAATGCTCTACTGAGTTCCAGAAAGCGTGGTGGATTGGCTTATTCAATGAGATCCATGCTAAGCTATGGGAAATTGTTAGAAGTTACGGAATGCCTCCACATCGTTATTGAGCACCACCCTCAACTGATGGGAGAGGTTCAGAACTTGGTGGATAGGTTTTGCGGGCAGTCCATCCACAGGAGCGCGCCCTATGCAATGCACATTCATATGGTCCGAATTTCCACCTCCTGATCGCCTGAACCCACTCCACACTGTCAAAAGCATTTTCCCTTGGTCACATACACATGTACACAAGCAAATATGAGCTTCTTCTGTAATTTGGGAGCCGAGATAAAGTGCAAAAAGTTGTTGTCCAAAAACTCACAATTAGGACGATCCGGCGCTCCATTTTAAAGAGATTGAAATTGACAAAAATAAGAAACAGCAGAAAAACAATTATGTAGTGCGGAAAATTGTCTGTCAAATGGCACAGAAATCATTATAAACAATTCTCACTTTTCATATAAAATTTTGCGTAAGAAAAAATGCCATTACTTATCGGCCAAATAATATATAGAAGAATGATTAGTCCCCTCGTTCCAAAGCCAACGGCTCAGGCCATGGCATCAAATTCGGCAGTACCTTGAGCTTGACGGTCCCAGCTGAAGACTAAATCGCTTACTTATCTCCGAAGGCGAGCTTTGCCAGTACCGTCTACAGCCGCAATAGCGTGCCACTTTCTCAGTTGTGCACAGGAACGGGCTGTAGGATTGTTGTAGACAAAAGTCGTCTTCGTACTCCGCCGAAGGCTTGGGCATGTAGCGTGTTTAATGACGGTTAGACGCTGGCCGTCCGTGCGAAGTATGGAAACGCTTCTATCACTGGGTATCACTACCCTCCAGCGCCATTTCCGCACACATGAGTGGAAAGAGTATCACGATACTTCAGCTCCACTCACCTAACACATGGACAGGATGTTCGTGGAGGTGAGTGTATAGTGCCTCCAAGATGTTGGCGACTGTGTATGCAGCAGTGCTCTCTTCTGTGGGGAAGTGTGTTCTATTGCTAGGAGCCGGGTGTTTCACCACTGAGACCACGAGAGCAGAGGGAGCTTATCCTGTGTTGTCCTCCATCCCCAAGGTGAATGGGCCCAATAACCCTCCGATCTCTGCTAATCCTCTGCGGTTTCTAGCACCTAAGATGGGCGTCCTCTTTCATAATGATTTTTATGCTTAGGGCGACTAGATACGAAGTTCGACCACGGCATGTGCCAGCCTCGCGTCGTGCTGTCCCCTGTGTCTGGTGCCGTACACTATACATTCCCTCGAGGGGAAGGCATTTCCCACTGTAATGCTTATAACCGATAACCTTTTCCCCTGCCTTTAGCCACTCTTCATCCCTACTCCCCACCCCCTCCCACCATCCACGCTCAAAAATATGCGTTGTGGGCTACACTGTGCCACAAAAATCTGCGCTACACTGTGTTCGCAGAAATTTTTTTTGATTCTCACATGACTCTTCTAGCCGCTCTGCATCCCCACCCAGAAGAGAACAAGAATTTTGGTGGAATATCTAGTCACGGAACCTTCTGGCTTCCCTTATGAGGACTGCGGTTCCCAAGGCATCGAGAGGTGCATTGGGAACCGTAGTCCTCATGTGGCAAGCCTGGGAGTGAACTTTGCCAGCAGAGGGGATCGAGGGGTGAATGAGTCTCTCATCATGAGTGAAAAGCTGAAATGTGCAAGGTCATAGAATGTCATGCAGAAGAGAGAGCGCAGGGAAAAAGAGAAATTTGGCATGATCAAAGGGATAGAGCTCAAGTTATCCGTAGACTGGCCAACTTGAGCTTAGACTTGCCTTTCTGTGGCTTTCAGTCTTTTACTTAGGCAGCGTTCAGACTTCGCGACAGCAGCGCTTCGGTCGCGCGTTCACGCGATCGATGCAGTCGAAAGCATGCGCATCGATCGTCGAATCGCGCGACCGAAGCGCTGCCGTCGCGAAGTCTGAACGCTGCCTTCTACACACACTCCTTATCCCTCAGACGGAGTGGGCGTGGCACTTGGACGTGGCGTGGAATGGGTTTCTCATGGGTAATTTCAATTTCAAACAACTATCGTTCTTCTCTGCTGAACAGGGATGACCACGATAGTCTCGAAATGAAATTATCTCGTCGAAAGCACACTCATCGCCACTCTTTCTTGATGAAATATTCAGCCACGTCTACCTGATCTCATATCAGAATTCGGAGTATATAGCAGACGCGTGTCAGGGGAGAGAGGGACTAGGTTTGGCTCGGCACCAACCCGTTTTACTCCAGTTGTTATCCATTGCTTTAACATCTGGTGTAGAACGAGTTGGCGCCGTGCCATGCTGGACCAAGTGGCACGCTCCAGCGTTTGCAGAGAAATCGACTGCATGGTGAGTCCATAAAAGGACTGCTTCTCCAATGACTGTAGCCAGTGTTTCATATCGGACTCATACTCCTTCAGGTTCGCTGTCTATAAAATGCCAATAGAGAGTGGTGACAACTCGGTTCCTGGAATCGCTTCCGGCGTTGCATGGTACTACTTGGATTCGAATAAGAAAGGAGCGCTAATACCTTCCCCCAACACCCTCGACAGTAAGGATCAGGTACATTCCGGTTTTCTCGGCTTCCACATTATTCTAGTTCGTCCCAGTTTTGCATAGACACCTTTAAAGTCGGTGTACCAATCGAGTCCGGTATTTTCGGGACCACTAATCTTTGGAAATGAAGCTCCTTCCTAGAATGATGGAATAAACTTGATCATGGCTGTTGATTTAGGCTATTGCATACACTCTGAACCAATTCTATAGCAAAAAGTCGGATCCAACAATATTTCACGTCATGTACAACGATGAGGTGAGTCTCTTACCGTATCCTGTGGTTTTTTGGTAGTAGTTTCGCAGTGGCAGGCAGCGCTGGTATAACGGCGCCATACCCGTTCTCTGTCAGTTGCTGAAGCGATTATGCGACAAAGGTTGATAGAAAACGAAAGATACCTACGATGTGA